ATTTATATGAACATTCTTATACAGTATGTTAAAAATGCAATTAGAATATTTTGTTAATGTTCTTTAAGGGTCAGAATTAAATTTGTGGTGGAAGGAAAGAAAAGCTGAACATAAACATTTTTACAGATGCTTTGTTTTTTGGGAGGAACTTTCCTAGAAGTGAGGCTGTATTGCCAAGGACAAAATCATTTTACAAAGTGCAAAAGGCATACCATTCAAGCTGGATTTCCAAGTGAAGGTATAGGGACCTAGGTCCTGTGAAAAACTAGTCTGTTACCGAATTTGTTAAGTGTTGCCACTTTGGAAATAATCTGACATTGGCACTTGTTCCTGAAAGGTATTCAGATAGTTTGGATGTTACCAGGTCCAGGTCCAGGTACTGTATGCAAATGTCACTAGTTTCACATGTTTTAACTGATAGTATTAATGTATTTTGTATGTTTATATGGTTTGTTGTATCAAACACTGCATGTTGAGCTGTGAAGATTATTAGGACTCAGAGAATTTTTTCAGCTAAAACGGGCAACTTGCTAGTTATGAAATATTATGAGGAAAGGACATGGTAGACTCAACATATGTACTAAAATATCTTGTGAGAGATCAACATTCAGATTTCTATTTTGCTGGTATATTTTCTCAATTTTAAAATACTTTCCTTGCTTTAGCTGCAAATCATTGTGAAAAAGACCGCACTCCTCTCCTTTACCTTTTTCCATACTTATTGCTTCCCAACCAACTCTACTAAGGACCTCATATGGTTGATGTCATCCAACTCACCTTTTTCTGGATGAACACAGTATCAGAATTTTGCTACATACAAAGAGCCCATGAATAATATTATGGCTGAAACAACAAGAAACAAATACTATTTACTTTTATGAAAATATACGACAGCATGTAATGAATTTGAGAGAGAGGAAAATTAAAGTGGAAAAAGAATATATTCTTTGTACAGGCCAAACCCACTGTAGATAGTATACAAGCACAGCGGGATAGAAAAGTAGGTATTTGTATGGATAGTAAAAACGTTTAAAATTGTATCAACTAGGATCAGAAGGCTTGTGATCTTATTTCAGAGCATAAGACAACTGATTCAGGAAAAAAAAAGAAAGATGACAATCTTTTTATTTGATTGCAGTCAGTTACATATTTATGCATTAAGAAGTTTTTAAAAGCAGTCTGAAAGCTTTTGATTACCAGAAAACATACAGAGGTTAAGTGGACGATATTTAAGGTTTTATGGAAATAAACTCAGACTTGGGTGTAGTAACACTAGATGAATCAATAATGTTCTCATTTTAAATAGTTTAAATTAGCTTTCCTTTGTCTTGCTGTGTCTTCATCCAGCCCAGGCTCTGCTAAATTAACTGGATGCCTCTTCTTTCTCTCCTCAGAAGCCTGGAACTGGAGTTAGTTGCCATTGCCTTTAGAGGTCTCTAACATCCCTTTAGATGTGCACATGTGGAGTCCATTTCTAAATAGTCCTCCCTGGAAAATCAAGTGCTCCTTGGTGTCAGGCAGAAGCAAAGAAAGAAAAGCAATTTGAAATTAAAAAAGAGGGTTTTAACACAGTCATTTATATTTGGCTGTTGTCTGGTGCTTCTCATGTGGCATAAGAAAAGTCAAAAAAAAAAAAGAGAAAAATAAATTTAAGTGAGTTTTGAGGGAACTTGCTGTGGCTCTGAAAGTTATTTCACATAGATGTAAGAAAAGAACCAGAGGTGCTTTTCTGAATGTAGAATTAAGACATCTGAACAATCCAAAACAAACAGTAAAACAGACAAACAAATAAACAAAACTCCCAAGCAACCCACAATTATCAATCTAGAAGGAAAAAGATACAGGCCACAGTGTGATGAGAAGAGTCATTAGAAAGAAATTATTCCACTCACATATGAAATTTAACTTCACTGACAATATTATCAACTTCATGTGTAAAATCATACTTAGAAAAATCAGAGGAAGAAGCTACTGAATTTTCATATTTATTCAAGGGATTCACAGAGCTAATGAGAATTCTTGAACCTTTTTAACATGTAATTTTTTACCAGAAAATAATTCAATTCTCTTCATTTGCATTTTTTTACTGAATAAAAAAAAACCAAAACCAACAAAAATCAGTATATTTATTTAAAAGTGAAAAATGTTTCCATCTCTAGCCATTATTGATGTCTGTGGTATCCACAAAGAAAATATTATTCAAAATTAACTTGGAAAACTTAGTGTTTTATTACACTAAATGAACAAGACTGTATTAATTTTTCTCTCTTTGTGTCTTCGTTTTGGCACACTTTCTTGCAATTGGCATGTGACACACCACAATGACAACCGATCTGGCAAACCTTTAATATTGCCAATAACATATAGCAGGCTGAAAAAATGAGCTTGCTCTACTGAGAAATAAAAAAAGCAAGAATTACTTGGACTGAGTTAGTGAAAAATGCCAGTTGCTAAACAAAAGAATAAGTTAAAAGTTTTCAAGGAATACTTCACATGAATGGTATGACAGAATGTAAGGAAGGGAGTAGTAGTAGCATGAATGATACAGAATATGAGTCAAAATCACACTGAGAAAGATTAGGAAAAGATTTATTACAGAGTGATAGTGATAGTATACTATACAGTCACGGGGTCAGATATTTTGACATGGAAAGAAACCCTGATAGTATTTTAGATGGTTAAATATTTCTGGGAGCTGTGGGAGACTTTAATTTCCTTGTCATAGATTTTTTTAAAGAAAATGTTACTAATATGCAGCTGTCCCTATTATTCTATGTGTTATTAATTTCAAAACATTTTGAGACACACCAGTGATAAGCACTACATTCCTACTAGTTTTATTTTTTTTCTGTTTCTCTAAAATTCTTATGTGCAAGCATAAACTCTGGTAGAGAAAAGAACTTGCTTGTGTGGGAGAAAGCAAGTATTCAAACAACAGCACTAATGAAAGGGAGCAGTGTAAGTTGCTGGCAAAGCAAATTGCTTTTCAGGATGAGTGTTCTCTGTTCTCTTCCACAAGGTCATTCTGGTATACAAGTCCTTTGCAGCTTTCTTGCATAATACATCTGAATGAATGTGTATTTTTTATTAGCAAGGATTACTCTTTGTTAGCATTACTCAAGCACATTTGTATGCAAAGAAGATTGGGTAGAGGGGTGCAGCCCTTTTAATAGGGAGCATAGTAAAGTCCTTTCCGGCTCCATGTGTGCTATGACACACATGTTACATATCCGTACATGAGGCCACAGCAATGGAGGGCTGGACACAGATATGAAGGGGACATTGTGCAGTGCAGCATCTTCTCCTTGGCTTTGCTGCAGAAAGCTGGAGCAATGCACCACAGCTGGACCTGTGTGACCACCTCGATGAGATATGTAGAGCACTGGGCGATCTCCTGTGCTTTCCCTCTAAGTAAATCTGTGCCTAGATTAGCTGTAACTGATTAGTAGGGTAATTTTAGAAGCAATAATTTATTTATGCTAGACCATACCTGTCTCCTGGAGACCCAGAATTCTGATTCAAATCCACAATATATGATAAATTTCTCCATATCAGAAAAGAAACAAATGATGAGCATGCAAATTTAAATATCATTTCTAAAGGATGGGAGGTGAAGAATTCATGCTTCAGAGATGCAAAATAGCTGTACAGAGGTTAGATCAGACTTTCATATATTAAATAGTCCCATGCAAAATTACTTTCCTCTTATTTGTGAAATGCATGTTGTACATGTGGCCTCATCTAATCTTTTGCCACTTTGCAAAGGAAAAACTAATTTCAATTCCAGAGGATGGAGCAGCCTTCAATTATACAAGTTAAAGGATTTGTGCTGCAGTTCGTAAGGAGTGCATGTACATTATAAATTCATCTAATTGCTCTACAGAGATGCTGATCCTAATTAAGACTTCATTGGGTTTTTCATTGAAAACTGTCAAAATTGCCTAATTAACCATGAAAAAATGAAGAAAATAATTAAATGAAAACTCTTTACATAAGTAAACCAAGTTTCTCCCAAGTTTTAACTCTCTTATAAGCCTGGGAGGCGTTTTATACTTCTGTGTCTCAGTGCCTTACCCTCTTCAATTGGGAGGAGTTTAGGGGTCTGAGGGGCAAAAGTCTTGGTCAAGAGGTACTTGTCCATTTGCGGTTTAGGCAGCTTCTCCATTGTGTGGGTCTTGGATGTAGCATGCAGTTTAGTGCAGTACCACTCCAAGTATGTTAGTTCAGGACTTTCTTTTCTGAAAATTATGCTATCCAAAAAGACTTCTGAAGAGGTGAAGCAAACAAAGCAGAAGACAGGACAGAGAACTAGTAGAAACAAGGAAATCAAATGCACAAGGTAAATGAAGTGAGGTCCTCTGAGTCTGCTGGGTCCTGGCATCTCTCTCTTCCCCCACTTTCTGTTTCCTGATGCCATGCCTGTTTTTCCAGTTTACTTTTCTGTTCTCTTCATTCCTCCCCATGAATGCTTTCTACTGCGTAATCTCTACAGATGTAAGCTTTGTCCTTCAGCCACTTTATAACCATACACAACATTAGTATGCTTCATATTAATGCAGCATAGCCAGTTTCTGAAATTTCACACCTTAAACTCTCTCTGAATGCAGCACTAGAAACATAGACGCATACTGTGTACCATTTCCCTGTCTAGTGCATGGTATGATCTAAAAATGGTGTTGGTGTACTTTCACAATTTCTGTATAGCTGGAAATTTAGGAAGCACATGACAAGTGTGAGGGTTTGGCTTCTAAAATGTATATATTATTGTGGATATTAGCATCACCACTCAAGGCAGTTTCTGTAATTTCTAGGAGTACTATCATGTAAGTAATGCTAAATTAACTAATATTTTTGCGAGGGTTCTCTGACATACAAATAAAATGTTATAAAATATGGAAAGCCTAAGAGATACATGAATAATTTTTCATTTTGTAGGTGCCTTTAGATGGTAAAAAGTGGTGGGCTTTTTTTTCTGATTCTTCTTTTTATTGTCCTGACAGTACAAACAAGTGGAGCAGTATATGTCATTCCACAAGTTACCTGCTGAAATGCGCCAGAAGATCCATGATTACTATGAGCACCGCTACCAAGGCAAGATTTTTGATGAAGAAAACATTTTGAATGAGCTCAATGACCCCCTCAGGGAGGTAAGAGTATTTGAGTAGTTCTTTATGGCACAGAAAACTTTCATGTCTTTGCTGTTTCTGTGTTGAAAGGCTCTTTCCGATTCTAGTCTGTACCATTTGATGTCATTTGACCTAGTCAATGAAAGACCAGGAGCATGAATTTTTTATTAAATCAACACAAAGAAATAAGAAGATTTACACTCTGTTCTGAACCAGTCTGCCAGAGTCGCTGCCACATAAGGATGTCAAAGAGTAAATTCCTGTCTTTAATTGTTGAGAGAAACTCATAGTTTTCTGCCATTATTTAAAATAGAGAGAAGCTGGACTAGAATGGTCCTGGGTGAAAATTTTTTCTGCTATCCTTACTTGCTAACCATGAATCTGTGCTGATGAAACCACTGAAAGCCACCAGTGAAGTAAGAGTTGATTTGTTTCATGCTGTGAAGTTGCATCCTCGGTTAAGACGGTTTTTACTTGAGCTGAGGAAGATGGAATACGATATACAAGCCATTAAAGAATGTCTTTTGTTAAGACTCTAGTTTGTATCCCAGTTTTGAGGTTTTTATAATGGTATGGTATGGTATGGTATGGTATGGTATGGTATGGTATGGTATGGTATGGTATGGTATGGTATGGTATGGTATGGTGTGGTATGTTGTTATGTTATGTGCAGTTGGAATATTCTTTAGCCAGGTGCTTGTGGGGGAGAAAGGCTGCATTACCTTGCTGTAACAGAGGTAGGTCCTTAGTGGGAATATAAATCTGACTGTCTTCTGTTGGGTGGCGCTCATACCTACTCAAGGATGTTTGTGTTATCATTTGGCTGATATCCTCTACTGAAAGAAGGAAAGCAAAAACAGAGGAGGGCAATGAAGTTGAAAAATTCAGAGGGAAGAAAGCACAAATAGGGAAAGGAGGAAAGAAACAAGAAAATGGGAGAAGGAAGGAGGAACAGTCTGGTTTTGATGAAACCTGTGCAATTTTCAGTGATACCAAGTAATGCCTTTTCGTATCCTCTGCTGTGGAAGGAGCGGTGCTGAATATATGTGCATATATCCACCCAGCAGAGCACAGGATGACATCTGTACTTTTAGAAAGAGATGTGAAGGTTGCTACTTTTTTAACAAGAGCATAAATGTGCAATGAATTGTCTGTACCACTGAATCCTGCTCTTTGTTGTGAAGGGAAAACATGTCATACAATCCATTGACAAAATCTATCAAGTTCAGTGTTTAAAATAGTTATCAGAAACAATACCTTGCCTGCTTATGGGCTCTGAGGGCAGCTGATGCAGTTTCGCCACATCTGTGTTATGAAAGTCTAGTAGTTGCCTCCCACCTTACAAAGTGCCAGCTGGAAATGTTGAACAGTGCCTAGAATTGCTGGGTCACCGCTACAAGGTTCAAGTCAAAATCAGGCCAAAGCATGACGGTTCTAACAATTTAACAGTATGGATGACTGAACTCCAGTGGCTGCACCCATTTAATTCCCTAACATAGATGTAGCCTCAGCCCGTTCGTAATATTGTGGGTTTATAAGTGTTTTGGAGGGCAGGTGGAGGGCTCTGGCTTCTTCACTGCCTCTGCCAGTTTACCCTGTGGCTCCCCTTGGTAGCTTTTGAAATGTCAAGAGGAAAATGTATTATAAAAATCTATCATGTAGGCCAGGAAAAGTGTGGGATTTATCCCTAAAGTACGGTGACAGTCAAAACATGAATCTTGGCCAGTATGGAGCTTTTGTTTTGTTAAAAGAATGGAAGCATATACAGATGCATCAGTCACTGACATCAGAAGCAGTTCCATCTATTTCTGCTTTAAAGGAAAGCATTTCTCCATAAATGAAGTCCAGTACCTTTCCATTGCAAAATGTTGTTTTACTAACAGTTTGCAGTTATGGGACTTGAATTACCTGTCTTTTCCCCCTTTCCTTGCTTCTTCCTTGTTTCCTCCCTTCCTCCCTCTCTCCCTAGTCCTGTCCACTTCCCTTCCTCTTTTCTTATTGCTTCAAAGGAGCAAGGCAAATTTGGTCAAGCATAAAAAACAAAAAGCACTTCTGAGGAGAGATCAAGCATGGAAAATTTCAAAAAGTAATGAGCCACAAAAAACATGGAGTAAGAATAGAATTTCACAGAGGGAGTGGCTTCTGGTTTTGCTACGGTTATGCTGTAGTTAACATGTCTTCTTTGTTGTCTACATTATATAAAAAAAAAAAATCTTTTACTCAGCCACAATCTGGTTGTACAATGCACTAAAGATAACAGAGTAGTAGTTCGAGAAAAACATCCAAAAAAATGAGAAAAAATAAGAACTGGACAGTGGCAATGCCAGAACAGGTTTCCCAATGAATCTGTCCAAATTCTGATACACAAAATACTGCGTGATTGTACCATGAATATCACCAGTTGTTATAAAAAATGTTGCAGTGATTTTAGTTCTCCATGTTCACAGCCACTCAAATTTACTGTACGGGCTGAAGTTTTCCACAGCTAGTCTCTCTTTAGGAGTGATGACCATTTTCTGGTCCATATATTAAAATTTTGGCTCATTATTTTTTTAGCAGAAAAATTACACGATATAAATATGATCATTCAACCATTAAAATAGCTAAAGGATATAGAATTAGCAGTAAAAATCTGATATAAAATTAGTTCTTACATGGTAAATACTACTAAGAAAGCTGTATATGCTTATAGTAGAGGTAAAACCTTTTTGGTGAAAGAAGGTGGGTGTTAATTGTACTGAGCTTCTGAAAATTATGTATGGTATATTCATAGTGAGTTGGATTATTAAAATAATGAAAAGCTAAGAAAAGATTTGATGCATATATGTTAGTGGCTAACATGGCTGAATAACAGAAATAGAGTCATGTTTATTGCGGGCAATTAACTAGGGTTTCATAAAAAAAGGAAAGGAAGAATCCTGAACATTTTTATATTTTACAAGGCTCTGTCTAGATGTTTCATAACAAGAGTAAAGCAACTGGTAGCTGACCTGTATCATTCAAGGACAAGCTTGTATTAATAAAGAGATTCCCTTCAATGACTGGGAACTAAGATAGACACTTATTAGAAAATGGGACTTCAAAACTTTATCTTCTCCCCAGTTAGTTGCACAATTTGGGTATATTAGTCCCATGATAATCTAGTAATTGGATATCCTCATCTCTACACACTCAAACTGAATTAGCCATGAGTTGCCATATGTGGTATGCTACTATCTGTTCGTAAGGAAGGGTGCTTTCTGATGAAAGTAAAGAATTAAGGGATTTTTTTCATTAAATTCAGAAATTTCACTCTTACTGAATATCTGGTAATAACTGTCCAGCCTTCTTGAGAATCAGATAGTCAGGAGATTCCTGGCAGCTATAATTTTGGTAGAGACAGAATACATTGAATTGCTTCTTCCAAGCCATGCAGGGTTGGATTCATCAAACCTATCTGTAGCTCCATATAAGTTCTACGATAAGTCTGAGCTACCCATCAGGCCTTCTCTGGACATCCCCCCCCTCCCCACCACTCTCACTGTAGAGAAAGCCTAGCTGACTAGCTTAGAAAAAAGGCTACATCTTCAAACAGCAGTTGACATGTGAAATGAATTCTGCATTTAAAAGCATTTGCAATTAACTATCTCCCTCCCTCATTTCTTGAGCTAGTAATTAGCAATTGGTAGCAATTAGCGTGTTTCCCTTACATAAATATCATCTCTGGTTCTTCAGCAGACAGAAGTTTTCTAAAGTTCACGTTTTTTAACTCAGAGTTCTTGCCACTTACATACTTGAACATAATTTGATATCAGAAGTTCCTAGTCCCAGAAGTGATCCTAATAACTGTCATGACATGAAATGGAGATGGTACAGAGAAGAAGAAAAAAAAAACCCAAACCAAAAAAAACCCCACAGCTAAGAGAAATCTATTCCAAAAGGGCACCTGAATTACAAAAGTTCAACGACATATACATAAGCAGTTTCACCTAAGAACAGAGAGTAAGAAATGTCAAAGTGGAGTTCGTCTAAGCCACCAGCCTCACCAGGTGTGCCTGTACGTGTATGCCCAGACAAGAACGAGAACACAGCAAGTATGGTATTCCCCTTAATGACTCTCCTAGGCTCCCAATATTTTAAGTTCAAGAAATTCTCTGAGACTGATGTGGTTTATCTACTGGGTAATCCTTCATACATTTATATTGCAGTTACTTGTTTACACTCCTCTTGAATCCATGTAATCTCTCTGCAGCCGTAGCATTCTTTGGCAAGGAGCACAGGCCTGTACCTGCTGCATGAGAAACCACCTCCTCATTTTGGGATTGAACTTCACTCCTGCTGTTCTTTGGTTTTGATGGCCATTAATTCTTGTAGCAAAAGTGATAGTACAGTCAGTTCCTATCTACCCTTTGCCTGCTGACTATGATTTTATAGACTTCTATGATAACATCCTTAAACTGTATGTTTTTGAAGGTAAAGAGACCTATTCTACTTAATTCTTTCTTGCATGGAAGCCAACCCTCTCCCATGATCATCCTTCTTACCCTTCTCAAAATTTTTTCCTCGCTCTACTACAGCCTTTTAGAGACGAGAGCACCAGATCTGCAACCAGCATACTAATGTTGTAATAATACCAGTGATTCCTTTCCTAATAATTGCTAACATTAATTTGCTTTTTTAGTCACTGCCAACCATTGAGCTTACTTTTTTTTATTGTAACTGTAAGAGGTAACTTCTAAGAGGTAATGGATACATTATTTTATGTATTTGTCTAGATGTATCACTTAACATTGCCCTCCATCAGTAATTTCCAACCAGCCCATAAGAAGCTGCTTTTAGTTTCTTTTTAACAAGCTGCTTCATCTTTACACGGTGCTGTTCCTGAAATTGCGCAGAACTGTGTGAAGTTCTTGGCTTTTGTTGTTCCCATAGGGACAGTGAATGTAAGTATATTATGGGACCTGTTACAGCCTAATGAGTTAGGTGTAAGATTCTGAAAAAGATCTTTTACAGTCCTTAGTGTTGCATCAGGTGTGACATTT